CTTTATTTTTGACTTCTTTCTAGCTGCTCTTAACGAGAAGTTCACACCCTTATTAAATTGGGGAAGCGGTGTCCGAATCCGGTAGAATGTACTGCGACCACAGGAGAGAAGCATCTTGCTCTTGGAAGTTACAGGGTTAGCGAAAGCAGTTTAAAAGCTAGTGATGATTAGAAATAGGACGCCCAGGTTTTCCTACCGCCCCCCCCCCTTTCCTCTCATTTCCTAAAAATGGCAATTTTCTGAACAGAGGCCTTGCATGCAGTGTGGCCTTAGTTTTTGATTGGGTAAAGGGACTTTCTTCCTGAAAATGGAAGAAATCAGGTGTTTGTACAATGTGTGCATGCTTTTAATAGCTGCTGATTTTGGGGGGCACCTGGGTAGCTCCGTCGGTTAAGCGTCTGACTTCAGCTCAGGTCATGATCTTGTGGTTTGCGAGTTCGAGTCGCGCATCAGGCTCTCTACTGTCTGCATGAAGCCCGCTTCGGATCCTGCGTCTCCCTCCCTCTCCCCCTCCCCCACATTTGTGCGTGCACGTGCTCGCTCTGTCTCTGAAATAAACATTAAGAAAAATAATAACTGCTTATTTTTAGCAGAAGTTCTAGATGCTCTTTGTGGCCGTGGCGGGTGCTACTTGGTGGCAAGCAGATCCTGTATTTTTGGGAGCCGCTGCTGTGTGGTTTTGTGACCCTGTGTCGAGTGGGGGGTGGGGAGACCTGGCCAGCAGGGAGGGTGGAGGAGGGCCGGGCACGTGCAGAATTTGCTTGCTGTGAGGTGAGCCTTGACTAACCTTCAGGGGGAGGGCAGGGCGGGTGGACACTGTTCTGGTTCCTGGATGCGTGGCTGTCACTTGGACTGCTCCCCGGCCAAGACTGGAGGAGAGGACGCGGCACTTGCCTGTGTTTTCTTTAAGGGGTAAGGTCCCTGCGACTGGACGCTCTGTGCCCCACGTGGAGTTGGACTGGTGGCCAGGCTTGAAACCCCACTCGATAAGGCTTCTTATAGTGTTGTTGTTTGAGAGAGAGAGAGAAGGGTGCAAGTGAGCAAGGAGCAGAGAGAGAGGGAGAGAGAAAGGAATGGGGCTCACCCGACCTGGGGCTTGAGTTTACGAACCATGAGATCGTGACCTGAACTGAGATCAGATGCTTTACTGAGCCACCCAGGCACCCTCGATGAAGCTTCTTTCCAAAGGTCCCTTGGATCCCATCGTCAAAAGGCCTGTGGAGCGCTCAGACCCTCGAAGGGGGTCATCTGGGTCTCCAGAGGTTTCCCTGGAGCTTTCTCCCTGCTTCCCTCGAGATGTCACTGTGACTTTGTGGGCGTTTCTCTTGACAGGACCTGTTCCTTGTTCTGTAGTATTTGTGTAATACTAAGTATTATCGAAAACGTTTTAGTATCTGTCTCCTCTCAGTAACTGAATTAAGAGAGGAAGGCACATCTTTCCCCAAGTAAGCACCTAAATAAAAGTTTATACCAACTATGAATGTTCTGGAAATAGGTTTAGTGTAGACAGACAGTTGATCCCTGGTTTCTCTCTCTGCATTTTTCCCCCCTACTTATTCTTGAACTGCCTTCAGAGAAACAAAATTTAACAGAGTGCCAGGTTGGGCCCTTTTAATAAGGGGCTCAGGTTTCTAAGAATGTTCTTCTCTCAGAGCCCATTTTGTCAGAGGCCAGATTGTTTCTCCAGGGCTCAGGAGAGAAGTTTGCACGGCAGACTTCCAGAAGCTGGGGCTGCCCATCTTGACTCAGAGGTCTTAGCAGGAGGCAGAAGCGGCGAGGTCAGGAGGTGTGCATTTGGGTCGAGGAGGAAGATGCTGGAATTGTTGCCTGGCATCCACATTCGACTCAGGATTCTAAGGAATGGCCTGGTTTTCTCGTTGAAGGAGGCTGCTTGGTAGAGAAGTTAGTTGAGAGCAAGAGCCTGTGAACAGTAACCCGGAAAGCAGATCCTGCTTGAGACTCACTAGAAACAGCATTCCTTTGCTGTGCAGTGAGACTGCTCTGTGGCCCCGAGGGATTCTTACACCTGTTCGTTTACTTAAAAGAGAGAGAGAGAGAAACTGCCTATTGTGGGGCTCGAACTTACAACCTTGGGATCAAGAGTCACATATTCTACCCGCTGAGCCAGCCACGCACCCGTTTCTTTTCATGAGTAGTACCTTAAATACTCTGTTGTTTCCCTCCACCCTCTTCTCAGATTCCACATGGCTCCTGAGGTCATGTGGGGCCACTAGCCTGTGCAAGGATTGTTTTTTGAATGTTAACCGCAGTGGGACCTGCCGGGGCCCGGTGTCGTGTGTGTGTGTGTGTGTGTGTGTGTGTGTGTGTGTGTGTGTGTGCGCGCGCGCGCGCGCATGTGCGCGCCTGGCACCTCGGTCTGGTGGAGAATGGGGTGGGTCTTGCCCAGTGGACTTCTTGCCAGTTTTCTTTCCGGGAAGTCGGGAGGGGAAGCCGACAGGGTGTCCCATCCTGGGATCTCTAAAGGATCCTCCATACAGGATAGCAGTCCAACGTGCGTCACAGGTGGCCGTCACCTGGTGTGCCCCACGCTCCCCAGACCCGGTTCGCCAGACGAACAGCCGTGAAACCGCAGAGCTGCAAGGAGACCTAACGGATGGCCAGTTGCTTGGGCTGGACCCCCTCGTGCGTCCTTGGGAGCATCCGGCCAGGGCCTCCCCGCATCTGCCTTTCAAGTTTTGGATGAAGAGCTTTGGTCTGTCCTTTGCGCTTTCTTGGCCAATCTTGAACAACGGTGAGACGTTTGATACTCACAGGAAGTCAACAGGCTTATAACATCCCTCTGAGAGGTTTCCTTTTGCAGTTTGTTGTCATGACCATGAACCAAAACGATGAAGACTGTACTTAATTATAACCTACTACTAATCTCTTCCCCCATCTGTAACCACCCTCTAAGCGTAAAATACCAAATATACAAATAAAAGCAAAAACTGTTTCACGATGGCGGGCTCTTTGGTATGCAGTTTGGGGACCAGAGAGAATTGTTTCCTGTACCTGTTCTTTTGTTCACTGTCGGAGACAAGGTAAACGTTAATAAAATTATTCATTATTACTGGCCTCGAAGCTTCTCTTTTTGAACGGGATTAGGAGGGAGGGAAGTCAGAGCAGCTTTTCAGGTAGCCTAGAGATTCTGTAAATAGCACCAAGGTGCCTTGGAATCTGTAGGGTCTTTCTCATGCATTATATTCTTGAAACTAAGAGTGTGCTCAATAGATATTTTTTTTATTTTAATGTTTATTTTTGAGAGACACAGTGTGAGTGGGGGAGGGTCAGAGAGAGAGGGAGACACAGAATCGGAAGCAGGCTCCAGGCTCTGAGCCATCAGCCCAGCGCGGGGCTTGAACTCAAACATCATGACCTGAGCTGAAGGCGGCCGCTTAACCAACTGAGCCACCCCGGCGCCCCTAGATATTTTTTCAAGGTATTCTATCAAAATATAAACAAAATGAAAAGACATGTTAAAGACTAAAACGAAAGGTGAGGGGTGTGTAAAGAATTCCTGCAGGGGCGCCTGGGTGGCTCAGTTGAAGCATCAGACGCTCGGTTTCAGATCAGGTCGTGATCTCACGGTTTGTATGTTCGAGCCCTGTGTCAGACTCTAATGCCGGTATGGGGCCTGCTTGGGATTCTCTCTGCCCCTCTCCAGCATGCTTCCTCTCTTTCTCGGTCAGTAAATAAAGAAAAAAATTTTAAATATGTATATATATACACACGTAAAGAATTCCAGCAAATTGTCCAGAGAAAAACCCCACAGAGAAGGAAGGTGTTAACAGGTATTTCGTGAAAGAGGAAGTAAGGCCAAAAAACGGTGCTCAGCCCCACTAGCAATCCCGGCATTCCTTGTAAGTCAAGACCGCGAAGAAAGAAAGTACCGTCGTGCACCCCATTCAAGTGGCGCACGTCATGAACTGACAAGCCAGTTGCCTAGAGGGTTTGTGGTCTCTCGTGTTACAGGTGAGCATGTAAGCGGGTGGTCACTTTGGGAATGAGCTTGAATATCGAATTAGCCTTCCCCTCCCAGGTATGTACCCCAGACAGATCACACGGCAGCAGAAGCTGCATTCGGATAATGGAATGAACCGTAGGCACGTGTTGATGGATCACAACGATGTGAGAGACGGGACCTAGGCCCGGGTGTGGACAGACTGCAATGGCACTTTCGTTAGATTCAAAGCCCCTCAGAAATACCTGTAGATGCCAAAACAAGCAGTCGCTTAGGTTGGGGGAGGTTGAAGAATGAGAATAGGTGCCTTTGGGGAGTGAGTTCACAGCCAAAAGTGGGTGTCAGAAGGCTGGGGAGGAGGAGTGGAAGGGAGGCTCTTTTGTACCTTAGGCTTGGGGGTGGCAGACCCCCTGGCTCCAGGGGTTTCTAGAACGTGCACACTTCTCAAGGTGCTTTTTCTGTGGATAATCCACAGCTTCCCATCAGCCTTTAGTATCTCTGTGACCCCAGGGGCGCTTGGGTGGCTCAGTTGGTCATGATCTTGCAGTTAGAGAGTTTGAGCACCGCATCAAGCTCTGCACTGGTCTTTCGAAGTCTGCTTGGGATTCTCTCTCTCTCTCTCTCTCTCTCTCTCTCTCCCCCCCCCTCCCTCCTTCCCTCCCTCCTCCCTCCCTCTCCCCTTTCCCTGCTTGTGCTCTCCCCCTCTTACAAAATAAACTTTAAAAAAGAAAAAAAAAAAAATGGGCTCAGAGAGGGTCTGAGCTAGGTCCCACCGCAGATTGACCTTAACACCTTACCAGTAGTTGGAGGTCACTTCTGCCATTGCTAAGGCCTGAGACAGAAGCCAGGCATGTAGGACGATACCTCCTTCCCATTGGATGTGTGAGGTTCTGTCCATCTCTGCCAGCTGGAGACCCCTGGGTAGAGGCACAGTCCAGGGATCGATGGACACCAACACCAGCTTGTCCCAGTTGTCTGAGTGGGGCTCGGGCAGGTGGTCCCAGCATGGAGGGCCGCTGGCACACAGCCACCAGCCTCCCTGCACTTGTGGGTGGTGAGAAGACAACAGGCTGGAGATTGGGGATCTGGGCTCAAATCCAGCATAGCTTCCATGGGCTTCCAGCCTTCTCTGCCTGTGTAAGGAAAGTGACATCAAAGGGGCCAGTTACCGTGGGAACCAAATGAAGCATGGCCCAGCGGGGAATAGAGTATGGCAGCGCCCGCACAGGCACGGGCCTGGGAGTCAGACGGACTTGGCTTTAGTCCCGGTGCCACCGTGCACTGGGATGGGGGACAAGCTCCTGGCGTGAGGCCCCAGGGATTTCCCACATCAAGGCTTGGCCGCTGCACTACCTATCTTCTCCACAGGGTGGCAGCCGCGGGCAGCCCTGGCCCCGGCCTGGACGGGACGGGCCGAAAGAGAAACCAAGTCTCTGGCCAAAAGGGGCCCACGGGACCGGAGGGCCTGGGCTCTGAAATTCCAGACTAATGGAGGCTTGGGACCCTGGTGGGTTTCCCTGGGGTCTCCTGCGAGTGGGGTGCCACTACCAGTTCCATGGCCTTAGGCAAGTCAACGCCCAGTAACAGAAGGCACCCAAGCAACCTGTGCATTTGTGGGTCCCCCAGGAGCCAGTGTGGAGTCCCTGAAGTGGACGGGGTATAGGCATGGGGGCAGCAGCCGCGGGAGGGGTCTCTGGGTCTCTGGGAATAAGGGCGGGGGTGGGGGGCCGTGAGCCGTGGCTCCTGGATCATCTCCACCCTTGTGTCCTCCGGCTCACCTCCCTGTCCTGCTGCTTCTGACGCCTATGGCGGGTGGGCTGCAGCGCTGTTCTGTCTGCCCCAGCGCGCACCTGCCGTGCGTCCCTCTGTCCCACGTCCCACGGGAGCGTGCACGGTGTGTGCGCGTGAGAGCGTGTCTCATTCCCTGGGACTCTCGCTCCCTGGGTGCCTGTCTCGTTCTCCCTCCCTCTGTGCGTCTCTGAGAGTCTGCGGGTCTCTGTGTCTGTCAGTCAATCTCAAGCTCAGGCTCTGCCTGTCTCTGGAGGAGAAAGGACACTCTGTACATGTGTATGCCTGTGTGTGTCTGTTTCTCATCCTTTCCCTGCCTGTGTGCCTTTTTCTGTGTGCTGCTCCCTCTTGAAGTGTGTGTGTGTGTGTGTGTGTGTGTGTGTGTGTGTGTGTGTGTCTTTCCATCTCTTCCTACTTTCTGGTTGCCTGTGTGTGTGTGTGCGTGTGTGTGTGTGTGCACCCCACTTCCTTCTTTCTTCCAGTCCCTCTGTGTATGTCTCTTCCTCTCTGTGTGACTTGGGTTTACATGTGTGTATTTAGTGCGTGCGTACGTGTGTGTGTGTGTGTGTGTGTGTGTGTGTGTGTGTTCTCTCCACGCCTGCTTGCGTCCGTGTCTCTCTCTCTCCCCTCGTCCCTTGGCGTCTCTCCCTGTCTCTGCGAGTGTCTCTGTGTCTCCGTCTGTTAACAGCAGAGCCTGTCCGGCAGAGCAGCGGATGTGTGAGGGATGATTCAGGGGCTGACAGGAAGCCCGCTGCCTTGCCTGCTGCCCGCCAGAGTCTGTGGCGTTGGCGTCAGCTCGGGCAGGTGTGTGGGCTCAGGATGAAGTGGCCGCAGTGAGGAGCCCCCAGCTGTCAGGTAAGTCTTGCCCAGGAGTGCCTGGAGCCTGGCCCAGGGCCAGGGGTCCGGAGGCTGGCTCCCACTGAACTCCCCACGGGGGCAGGAATGGCCCCACTGGCCCAGCGGGAGTGCTGGGGGGGGGGTCCCGCCGGGTGGGGTGGGGAGATGCCCAGCCGCTGGGCCCTGGTCCTGCCCTGGCGCCCCTGGCTGGGAAGTGCTCCCTCCGGGACCCTGCGGCACCCAGGGGCAGCCTGTTTCTGGCCACCTTCCCACCCTCGCCTTCCCCAGCCCAGCCTATGAGGGCCTGGGAAGCCCCTGCGGGTCCTATCGCTTCCAGAGACCGGTGAGGGGCCAGGCCCACGAGCCCTGGTTTCTTTGTCCGTAAAATGGGACTGTAACATCCCTGCCACCGGGCTATTGGAGGACGGGTGGGACTCCACAGGCAAGCGTGCCCAGGGCCTGCCTCAGGCCAGATGGAAGCAGCCCTCCCACCGCCCCCACCCAGCCCCCAGCCTGGCGCTCCAGCTCTCGGCTCTCTGACTGCGAGGCTGTAGGCCCTGGGGACCTGCTTGTGCCCGGCTCTGTCACCATCCCCCCCCCCCCCCCCGCCCTTGACCTTGGCCGTCACCATTCCCCACCTCTGCCCCGGAACAAGGGCTGCCCAGGCCCCCACACTGGCCTCCTGAGCATTACGAGCCTCCGTTAGAGGTCCCTGGGTCGGCCTTATCTAAAGGCCAAGATTACATGGGAAAGGGAACAGGCACCAGAGCAGAGCCCAGCGGATAAAGCATTCCCAGGGCCCAGATCCGAATCTCTCGCTCCACTCCTGCCCCCTAGTCTGCCCTGCCGCCCTGGTAGGCCTCAGTTTCCCCATCAACGGCTGGAGGTAGGGCTGGGAGATGGGGCGGGAGGCTGGGACACTGAGGCCCGGCCCTGAGGGCTTTCCCACCGAGGGCTGTTGCAAACCTTGTTCATCTGAAAACTGCGCACTTCCCTTTGTGCTATTTTGGCCCGCGGCACCTCGGCCTGTGGCCACAGGCCGCCTCGCCTCCCCACCCCACCCAGCCCTGCCTGCCCCTTGGGGCCCTCCTGGGGCCTCTGGGCCTGCCTCTCCTGGGGGCTCAGCCTCCTCCCCCAACCCTCATCCTGCGCCCACCAGCTCGTGGGGCCTGGGTGGGAAAGCCCGGCCGGAGGGCGGATCTGCTCGGTCTGGGGGCCTCTCTTTGAAAAAATATTTCATGCTTCTTAAAAATAGAATTGTAAGAAAGGGGTACAGGAGCGTGGCCTTTGGAGCCAGCCCTGCCTGAGCTGGGGGTCCTGGTTCTGCTGACGGGCTCGCTGGGGGAACTCGGACAGAGTGCCTGCCTCTCTGGGCCTCCCTCTCCTCCTTTGGATGAAGGGAGCTGGCATCTCCCAAGTGACACTTGGCGCGTCTGTGACAACTGAGGGGCCGGGCCGGATCCCAGCCCGCCCCGGGGTCCCGGCACGATGGCCCCCGTGGGGCGGTGGAGGGGGAGGCTCGGGCCAGTGTGTCTGGGGGACCAGGCGGGACGGTTCTTTCTGGTAGGGTTACCCCGCACTATTCACTGCAACACCCCCCGCCCCCAAAAGGCTGTGGCTGCCCCTTCCCGTTCCATGGGGACCCTGATGGTGGCGAGTCGTGGTCGTCATCCAGCTGTGTCCCCCAGACTCCCACACTAGCACCTCCGAGCACCATCTCGATGCTGGGCCTCATTATTTCCCCTGTTGTAGAAGGGCCGCCGAAGGCCAGTGAGGCTGGGATTCCACAGCAGAGGCAGACACACGCTGTGTTCTCGGGCTCCCCCTCCTTCCCTCAGCCAGTGCCAGGGGGGCGGGGGTGGGCCAGGATGCCCCCCCCCCCCCACCCCGGCCCCGACCGTGCTGCTTGTCCCCGGACAGCCGGGTCCAGGAAGCAAGAGGGCGCCCTGGTGGCCAGGATGCCCTGCGATCGAGGGTCCCCCTTCCCCGGGACGGCCACAGAGGTCAGCAGGCCAGGTCCTGGGCCTCCGTCGCCAGGCCGCAAGAGCACGAGTGAGTTCTCTAAACCAGCCGGCCAGAAATAAGACCCTTAGCACGCTTCTCTTCCGGAAGCCCGGCCGGTGAGCCAGACTGTTTATCATCTGTCGAAAGTGCGTTGAGGAAGGCACCGCGTCGATCCCCATTTTGTAGATGAGAAAACCGAGGCCAGGAGACACACAGGCACAAGCTGGAGTCCTCCCTCCAGGACCAGGTGCTCCCAACCCCACACAGCCTGAAGTGCCCTGGGGCGGGCGGCCCAAGGTTGGGGGGGGGGGGGGGGTGGTGCGGGGAGGAGGTTGTGCAGGCCGGGAGGGCAGCGCCCTGGCTCTGAGAGGGCGGGGCTCAACACGGACAACGTCGCGGGGTGGCGGGGGCCGCCCCGTCCTGAGATTTGGCGACGCTCGTGCTCCCACTGACTCACTCGGTGTTTGGGGAAGGAGGGGTGGCTTCTCTGTGACGGCCCCGACGGAGGCTCCGTGTGGCGTGGAGGTTCCTGGTCATTTTTGCCACAAGGGTGGAGGCAGCCCGGAGAGGCGAAAGGGACCGCCGGCCGCCGCGGTGTAGGCCTCGGGGAGCCCAGGGCAGGAGCCGGGCGGTACGAGGCTCCGCTTCTCCCCCGGCCTCGCCTTCCCCGGCTGTAAAGTGGGGAGAAGCCCTCCCCCCGGGTGGCTGAGGCAGGGGGAAAACAGGTGTGCACAGGATGTGCAGGGAGCCGGTGTGGGCCCCCTCGGAGACGCCCTGTCACCCCCTCAGCCGCGTCCCCCGGCCACTGCCAGGAGACTGTCTCCGCGCTCGCGACGATTCTTCCCGGAAACCCCCTCAGCGGGGCACTCCCCGGGCCCCGGTGTGTGGCCGCCCGTGGCTTCGCCAAGGACTGGCAGTCCCAGCGTGGCTCCGCGGCTGGGACCAGCCACTGACCAAGCGGTGGCCCGAGGCCAGGCGGGATTCAGAGTCTCCTCACCCTGCAGAGTCTGCCTTCCAGCCCGCGACGCTCCCGGCACCTCCCGCCGCCAGCTGCAGCGGGAGCCCGCCAGGCCTCTCTGCCCCCCCCCCCCCCCCCCCCCCCCCCCCCCCCCCCCGCACCCTTCTTCCCCTTATGCCCTCAGGACCCCCCTGGTGCTTAAGGAAAGGAGATCCCACTCCTGATAGGGGCCGAGAAACGCCCTAGGGTGGGTGGCGGCTGCCGGGGCTCCGGTGCCGAAGGGGCCGTGTCCCGAGCTCAGGAAGCAAAGCTGGGTTTACAGGAGGCGACAGGGTAGAGCCAGACTTAGGGCCCCGAGGCTGGAGTTTGAGTCCTGACTTTTTACTTTGCAGCTGGGATCTCCAGCCTCAGTTTCTCCTTTCTTCCTTCTCTTCCTTCCTTCCTCCCTCCCTCCCTTCCTCCCTCCCTTCCTCCCTTCCTTCCTCTTCCTTCCTTCCTTCCTTCCTCTTCCTCTTTCTTTTCTTTCTTTCTCTCTCTCTCTCTCTCTTTTTCTTTCTTTATGTTTATGCATTTTGAGAGAGAGAGAGAGAGACAGAGCATGAGTGGGGAAGAGGTAGAGAGAGAGGGAGACACACAGAATTCGAAGCAGACTCCAATCTCCCAGCTGTCAGCACAGGGCCCGACGTCTGGCTCGAACTCGCCAGCCATGAGATCATGACCTGAGCCAAAGTCAGACGCTCAACCGACTGAGTCACCCAGGCGCCCCTCCGGCCTCAGTTTTTATATTTGTGAAATGTTGGGAGGGCAGCTGTGTGGATTAAGCAAAGGGCACATGGTGCTGTCTGGTCCCCAGAACCTTCCAGCACTTAACCAAGTGTCGGTGATGGCCCTGGGACCAGGACTGCGGGTTTGGGGTCAGATGAGGGAGCAAGGTGGTTCCAGGGCTGGTTCCAGCCTGACCTGTTGCTAGGGCAGGGAGGGGAGCCGGTGCTCCCAGGGCCTGGGCTCAGCCGTGGGGCTGTCGGGACAGGGGGTCTGGAAATCCGAGGGTGTGGGGCTGGGCAGGACCCTGGAGGGGCGGTCACGGGATGATCCACGTTGCAGCCCTGCAGGACGAGTGGCTAGGAGCGGACATGAACGTGGACGCCGAGCTGCTGTGGCCGGGGGTGGCCCTGCTGCTGCTTCTGGGGACGGTGGCCAGCCTGTGCGTGCGCTGCTCCCGCCCAGGTAACAGTGCGGCGGGGGACAAGGGCGTACCCAGACCTGGCCGTGCTGGGTGGACCGAAAGACAGGCTTCGACGAGGCAGGGATGAAACCCTAAACCAGCCCTGAAGACCATGAGTCTGGGTCACTGTGGGGCTTTGGTTGTGCTGGGTCAAGGGGTCTGGGGCAGGGGAATGCTCTGGAAAAAGGATGGAGATGTGCTGTGCTGCCTGCAGCGTGGACCTTCATGCTCTGCTCTCCCAGAGAGCAGACACCGTATCAGTGACAGGTGGCCCGCGGCGATTGGCCGACCGTGTCCCATGTCCCATCTGGGGCCTGCCCAGGGCACAGGGGAGACAAGATGGGGGGATCTCAGAGCTCAGTGCCCGCCCCGGCATTGGGACGCTTGATGATCTGGTCTTGTTCTTGCAGTGGTGAAGAAGTCTGAGAAGATCTACGAGCAGAGGAGCCTGTGAGTGCTTAGGTGTCCCCAGCCCAG